GTCAGGTGAGAAGCAAAACTGGTGTACTGAATTGCTTTTACATCTAAGGAGAAATATAGTAAAAAGTTAAACCTCAGGTTCATATGGTATGCATAATCATTGATGTTTTGTTTAGGCTTCACAAGTTACAAATACACAATATGTTTGTATGGCAATGGCAGTATCAACAAAAGACTGATTAACTGTGTGTTGGCATAACTGTTCAGCTCCAGAAGAAGTTTGAGAAATAGGTTGTGTATTTTCATACAAGTGAACTTGTCATAAGGCTTAGTGTGGGTACATTTTGACAGACTGGGCACCTATGCATAGGTGCCAACTTTTATTTTTGCCAGGGTTAGCTGGGAGGGGAGCTTAAGATGATGGGCACCTGGGAAGTTTTACATCTTTCAGCTGACAGCACTCTTCCTGTGTGGGGCCAGGGCCCCACATACTCAGCACCTATGCCATCTAGAAGCCTTGTATCTGTTGAAATGTTTATGCTGCTCTTGGGAAACTTCATTGTACAATATACTTCCCTGCATTGATAGTGTCACAGGTAGAAGATATTTTACTAATCCTGCCCCCAAATGTAAGATGATCCTAAGGGCTGCAATGTTAAAAAGAAGAAGAAAAGGAAGAAGAAGAAAGCAATTAAAAATAAAACAGAAAGCTTTTTCACTTAATACTTTTGTTATACATTGTGCATCATTCTAGGAGCAATTAGTAACTTTTTTGAGCTACTTGGGGAAGAAACTTCAGTTTCATGTTGAGTAGCCTGGACATATATAGTCATTTTCTATAGATTAGGAAATGTCTGCAACTAACAGATCTTGGAAGCTAAGAACTATGTGGAAACAAATTAGAAGTTTTCAGGGAGAGACATGCTTGAAGTGATAAATGGGGACATCAAATGGATTATAGCATAGAATAAGTATTGGATACCTGAGCCTGGGTGTCTACATACACAATTGCAAGTAAAAGCATAGGCTGATTTAAATCCAAATTATTTTTAAGTCAGCAATTTAATTTACATCTCGTTTGTGTTTATACTGTTTAGTTTTCTTCTGAAAGAAATGCTGATATTAGAAAGTGTTGATTTACAACTAAATATATTTACATTTATTAGCTTTTGTTAACTGGAGATATATACTGTATCCATATGTTTGTTTAAACTATTTTTAATATTTAAATTGTATTACTTAATGAAATTAATTATACTTTTTATTTACTGGATTATTTCTTACTAATGATTGTGTCAAGATGCATTTGGATGAAAATTAGGACCTGATTGCAATGCACAAAACTAGAATTCCCTTAAATATTCTTGACCTATCAGATATCTGGTGGGAAATATTTTCGTTGACCTCATTAAACAAAGGAAATATCTCATTTATTTAAACAAAAGAAATATTTGTAATAAGTGAGTTGAAATTAGTAGGTGATAGGTTTCAAAATTAACAAGGGAAAGAACTTTTTTAATGCAACGCATAGTTAACTTGTGGAATTTATTGCGTAGCATACCTAGGTTAAAAAAGGGCCTGAATAAAATCCTGGATAATACAGCTATTAGTGGCTATTGAACAGTGTCTCGGACGGCCAGGGCCGACTTGAGTTACGCTCGTACGTCAGGGCGGGCTGGTGAATGGAGAGGCAGACACAACTTATTGGTTGTAAAAAACTTTACTCACGCCGCTTGCAATCACGACGCAGGTGGTCCGGTCGTCGGAACAACCACATGAGTTGTTCCAGCTGGCGGGGCCCAAGCCAGTTAATCTGTCTGCAATTTGAAACTGGCGGGGAAAGGGGTACGTCGGGGTTGCGCTCGGTGACGGGAAGAAAGATCGATAGGTGATCAGTCTATCGATCGGCAGCCGCAAGCCAGATAACTTCAGAGACACTCTGCAGCGTGCTCAAAGCTCTTCGACTTGGGCGGAAGTCGCGCGGAATTTTAAACGGCCAGCGAGCCAATTACTCGCCGCCACGTGTGAATAATTTAGCACTGGCCAATAACGGGGCACAAATTTGCATCCGAATAGCGGGAACTCTTTGCACCGTGCATCTCTGTGCTGCAAAGAAGAAATGCATCCTGCAAAGGAAACTGCAAATTGGCGGGAACTCTCCTGCACGCAGGCTCTTAATTGCAGCAGAACACTCTGCTGTGCAAAGGAGCTCTCATGTGGCCAGGAAATTCCATAGTGCCGAGGCACAAAAAATCACTGGGTCGTGACAAACAGGATAGTTGGAGATGTTTCCACTGTCATCTCTAAAGTAATAAATGGCGGCTGCCAGGGAGGACACTGAATAGGGGATAGATCACTCTTGAGATGCCTGGTTCAGTGCTGTCCCTACATCCACTTCGGCCATTGTTGGAAACAGGTCAATTAGTTCTTTCCTAGTGCTCCAGATGGGAGATACTGCAGTTCCCCAGGCTGTGGCAGGCCAGCTGGATGCCCTTGGGCATAATGGTGACACACGGTGTAGATGGCACACAGGTTGGTGTCTTTGAAGAGCCCCATGAAGTAGGTTCCACTGGCCTCCTGCAGTGCCATGATGGCTGAGCTCTGGAAGTACAGGTCCATCTTGAAGTCCTGTATGATCTTGCACACCAGGTGCTATAAGCACAGCTTGCAGATCAGCAGCTTTGTCAACTTCTGGTAGCACCAGATCTTGTACCATGGTGCCAGGCTGAAAGTGGTGCAACTTCTTCATACCACTCGTGATAGGTGCACTGTTGTGGGCTGCTATGGTGTCCAGCTGCTTGCAGGGAGCTTTGCCATGTAATGACTTGCATGCTGTCTGCTTCAAGTGGGCTGTAGTCTCAAAAACCTGCAAGCTTGTGCCTCCAACATAGCCCAGTACTGAACTAGATGGACCGTAGCTATGACCCACTTATGTTCTTAAAACATTGCCAATAAACATACTATTTGAATGCTGTTTTTTTCAAAGGTAAATTATATTAACAGATTATACTAAAGTTATGTGCTAGTATTGTGGGTTATAATTTAAAATTTAAATAAACTATAAAAAAACTGAAAATGCATTCAACAGAAAAACGAAAAGAATCCAATTTAGTTTTAAAAATCCATCTTTTATTAAAGAATATACTTTCCAGTGGCAACATAATTGTTACATGTTAACTGGACGGAAGTGTGCAATTCCTTTCTGCTATGGATTCAAACAGGAGAAAAACGGGAGGGAAAGGCAGCTAAGTATGCTGAAGAGGAAGTACGTTCTGGGCCATTGTTACCCCACAGTAAATGTCTGGGGTTCGTGTTTTATTGGTGGGAGAAGAAGAGAATGGAACAAGAAAGCATCTGTTGAGTTGTGTATGTATGTCTTAATTGCAGATGAGAAATTCTAGAATAAACACTTACTGTAGAATTTATGTTGATACAATTTTAACATTACAGATATTGAACATATCACAGTTTGGTGGTTAGTTAACTACTAGCTTGTTACAAAGTATTTAGCACATGGTTTTCATCCCCAGCAAGATTGGTGTAGTTCAAAACAAAATGCTTATCCTGCCCACATCCTGCCTGCCCACAGCCCTTAAATACTATGAACAAGTGGTTTAAGCAGAGTACTGTAACTTTCTTGAATAATGTTCTGCCACTTAGCTTGTTTTCTCTGGTTTTGAACCATGTTTAGATAAGTTGCTTCTAGTTAGATGATTCTTAGAATCATGTATCGTGTGCTATCATATTCCACAACCTAAAACAGATTCAGATGTTCTGCATCCTGTATTAAACATCTTCTTGCTTTAAGATCGTACCTCTAAGAAAAAAATATGAAGTTGGCAGAATTAGTAAACTCAGGCTAAATGCTTTGATCCCTGTGGTTTCCCTTATGTATTTTCTATCAGGGCATTTAGTGCATTGGATGAGATGTATTACATTTCTCCACCACTCCCACAACAGCTACACCCCACAACAGAACCGTCGCCATTTGTGGATCTTACACCTGCACCTCCAGAAATGTAATATATCTCATCCAATGCACTAAATGCCTTGATGGAAAATATGTAGGAGAAACCAAACAACAGCTGCATACCAGAATAAACACACACTGGAAATCTATCAAAGACAAAAATACCCGATTACCCATGGGTGCACATTTCTCACAAGACATTCACTCTCTGTCCAAACTCTCAATTCTAATCCTCAAAGGGAATTTACAAAACACCTCTTGTAGATGAGTCTACAAAGTTCACTTCATAAATCTACTGGATACAAAAAATCATGGGCTAAATATAGACATTGGATTTATGGCACATTATAACCTACCCTCCAGCTGATAACCCCAGGTAACTTCTGTACATTTTACCAACCACATTCTATTACCAGGTCAACATTTCCTCCTTTACCCCACTCCACCTACCGGTTTTGCACCTATCATTTCCCATGACCTCTGATCCTCATTTGCATTCGCATTCGCATTTGCATTTTCACAGACGTGCATTTGTAGATTGGCTTCTATTCCGTCCAGGAGAACCATCAGACTCTACCTATGCCTGAAGAAGGGTGTTTGTGTCTGAAAGCTTGTTAACAGCAATTTTTCCAACTATTTATTTGGTCTAATAAAAGATATAACGTTTACACAAGGAACCTTGTCTGCCAGTGTATTTATAGTTCTATTTATGCATGGAAAAAAAAATACTAGCACAGAAGGATAGAAGTTATTCAAGTGCTTAAATGTCTGCCTGAATTGGGCTCATCACAACCCCAATACTATTTCTATGAAATTCAATTCTATTTATTCAAACATTTTTTTGATTATGTATAGAATGAAGTTTTTTTACTGTTACCTTTGTGTTTTTTGTTTGAGACTGGATTCAGATTTAGCTAACATGAAAAATCCTTTCATTGAGTTATGACTCCATCATACTGCTTATAATTTTTCTTTTTCCTTTGTCAGTCTTTTCATCCGGTTTGAAAGCCTTAACAACAAATACAGATAATTTTTCAATGTAATTGAAAGATTGGCTCTATCTGAATTGTTTAACTGCTTGTCCTTTGCAGCCCTATACAATTTTAAAGGTACAGGAGTACCGCAGTTAACCCTCCAGATTGGTGATGTGGTCCATATACTGGAGTCCTGTGATGGTAAGTACTTTCTTAATAATTTGCATAAATACGTGACATTTGTATCATTATTAGCATCATGGATTTTTTACTTTTTGCCTGCGTTACATAAAAAATAAGTGCCTGTTTATTTTTATAAGTAACTTTATTACTTTAAAAATATTTCATTAAGTTAATAACTTAAATCTCCATTTTGACTAAACTGGTTTCTAGTTGACCCTCACACAGTGACCATTAGATTTGGAACAAACATAAAGAGCTCTCATTGGACATTTGTCTTTATTATATGAGTTGCAGAGTGAATAAGCAAATGCTACCTAAAACCTACCAGGTAGCTGAGGCTAAATCACCTGTGTGTGTGTGTATGTGTGATATATGCATATCTATATTTATAGCTCATGCGTAAGGTGAGGGGGAGAGAAAGACGGTGAGAAAGTTAGTTCGCTCCTCAGAAGTTTCACTTTGCAAACTTACCAGTTTAACCAGGCCTAGAGAGAAGGATTGTGTAATGTCATTTCCCTTTATACTGCTGTTTATCAAACTCTGTGTGTCCTGAAAGTCAGCAAGATACAAGTGCTGTCCCTATATTTCTAGATCTTTTTTAACCAATAAAATGTTCATTTTGTTGATGTAGCATCAAAAGGCCAAAACGGAGTTAAATGCCACTGTACACAAAGTTAATTTAAATATGTTTGTTTTGGTTTATAATATAGTCATTCTTGTAGAGACTTTATCAGAGGTGTTTAAGGGCATGTCATTTTCTTGGAAAGCACTTACTCAAGGCAGAAATAATCCAGGTAGCTGGTCCCATGTAGACATCCTATGATGAGCTGGAAGAAAACTTGTCTTGGAGACTGACTACTGACCTATTTCTAACTTCTAAGAAGTGTACTTCTAGATGATGTATATAAGCAGCATTTAAGTCACAGTGGCTGTATCTACACATTCATTATTGCACCTTAGATACTGCACATTTAGTTTAGTACTTTCTAAATAATGTATTAACTAAATGCACAGTAACTAGAGTTACTGCACAGTAGCACCAGCACGTTTTTTTGTAATGCTTACCATGCATTAGTCTAGTAACATTGCACAGTAGGCTATTAGCATGGTTTTTAACTGCCATGCTACTGTGCAGTGGTATTAGGCTAATGCGCAGTAAGCGTCTTGTGTAGACATGCCCTGAATGTGCTAGAGAAAGCACTTGCTGCATGAAACTGAATCATACATAATATTTGTCAAATCAATGTTTCAGAAAGACAGAACAAGTTGTTTTGAAAGAAGCGCTCTAGAAATCAATGTGCCTCAACCCACTTAACTATGCCAAATAACGTTTATGATCTTACACTGATCAATGATGGCCCAAATTAAAAGCAGTCACACATCATTAACACCAAATATGTTGCTTCAAACAGACAAATGTATTATGAGTAGACTGCCTGACAAAGTTGGTAGTTAGAACTATATAAGATGGGAAGAGGCCAAGGAAGAACATATAAATAGAATTCAGTGCAACCATACAAAGCTGAACTTATTGCTCATGCTAAAGCTATTCAAAACCCCTCTTTAAGCTGTGCTGGAGCTGATGAAAAGTTTTTGATCTATACATATGCAACCTTCTTGAGTTATACTCTATAGAATTATCAAAGCCTCTGAGATTTCTATAATTGCGTACCAGACTGAGGTTATCTGGTCAGGCCTAAAGTTATCAAATTCCTCTTTGTAATGAATCTTGGTAAAAATCTGATACGAAATTTTAGTGTCATCTCCAGGGATCCTGGTTTTCTCTGATTAAAAAAAAAAATCTATATTTATATAGACCACTATATAAATATCTATATGTTAGTGGTGTTTCATTTTAATCATGGAAAAATGTGGATTTGGGGTTACTTTTTCTAAACCAAAAATTGGGGATTGTTTTAAATTGGAGAAAACCAGGATCCCTGGTCATCTCATAGATGGTAAGATATTGTGTTATAAAGGTCTCCCATTTATGCATTACTACATATTTATTGCTTTTATGCATTTTAAATACCTATTGGCTCCTATTATTAACTGTTAAAAAAACCCCTTTTTCTGGATAGGTTACAGTGTATAGGCTCTGCTTGCTGCTTTACCTTCCTTTGGATTCTCTTCCTGTTTGCCTTTCATCTTTTACATGTGGAAAGGCCAAATGAAGTATTAGCTAAACAGCTTTTATCAGCTTGCATTTGATATATTTAGCAGTTTTTGTTGAGTGTAAGAACTGTGGTTTTCTATTGCATGACTACCAGAAAGACCACTCCCAAGAGAAGAGGAGCAGCTTTTACTCTCAGTCAAGCTAAAACTCATAGTAGTGTTTTGTTTTTGGAGTGAAATCTTTTGGTCAAGTGGTCACAGCTTTATATATAATTAATAAAACTATGATACTATTGCTGTACTTTTGGGATTGAGACTTTCAGGGACAGAGATCAGTGTCTAAAAGTTTTTAATGTTTCAATTTCTACATAAACAGATAATTTGTCCCCATTTATACTTAGATTTAATGATTTAGCATGGATTTCTTCTCTTAAGACTGGTAGACAGTGGCCTAGATTCATACCAGTGGAGGTTCTTTTACAGGGGTCTCTTGCCATGCAAATCTATATATTTTCCCATTGCTGTATTTAATCTTTTGACATCCTATGCTGTAACTTTCCAATATTCGTATTCTTATTGCATGTAATCAGAATGTCTAAATAGAGGACTTTGTGTGACTAAGGCCAGTGTTTGTTTTGTTTTAACTAAGTGTTCTGTGTTTTAATTTTAGATTGGTACAAGGGGTATCTAGTGAGACATAAAAGCTCAGAGGTAAGGTCATACTTTTGATCCCTTTCAGTGCTAAAAGTAAACATTTTCCAATTTCAAATATCTTCTTCAGAGTAGAATATGAAAGGGTCAAATGCTGATCACTTAACAGCTCATTCCATTTGTTTCAGTGAAGCTAAGTAAGGTGACTAAGATTTGACCTGAAATCTTGACATAGTATTATCTAAAGCCATTACACTTTTTAAAAATATTACTTTGTTTGTAGATTAAAGGACTGATGAAGGTGTGACTTGAAATACCTGGGTAAATTTGATTTATGGGAAATATGTGCTTCACCATTTGATCTAAGTATTCCTAGGGCCAGCTTAAACACATTAGGCATAAATTTATTTACATTGTACAAACCTTAACTATGAGCCTTTGTTGGGAAGGGCAGCATTTAAATTAAATAATTAATTTAAAAAAAAACTTTGACTGAGGACATTTAATGGGTAGTTACTCCTTGCATGGTAGGTAATATCCAGGTTAAAAATCTTTAATTAATATATTGGTGTCCTACATGCTTGATTTGTTTACTCAGCTGCTCTGGGAAAACATTTTAAGCAAATGAAGACTGCTATAAGTAAATAACTTATCTTCATATTTTATTTACTTCTTTGTAATTCTGTGTGTTATTTATTGTTTCATTAAATTGCTCAGGGATGTTGTTTTTAGAGTAAGGGAAGGTTGGTGCAAGTAAATACCTTATCTTCCTAAAATATATATAATTTATTTATCCAAGGCTTTCAATGTTTTTATTGTCTGAGCTCTCTAACATTGATAATATTCATAACAGGTGGTGGGAGTCATGGCTGACTGGCCTGTTCCCATTACTGGCTTGTTTTCAGGTTAAGTAGAAGCTTCTCTGTACAAGTGACATATTGGAGCAGATGGTAGTACTTGTTGCCACTTATCCATAAAATGTTTAATCTGGAGTGAGGTGGAAGTCCAGTCACACTTTTTCTCCTGAAGCTATGGGTGCTGTCCTGCTGTTGGGTTCATCTTCTGATGAGGATTTAGCCATTTAAACCAAATGTGCAAAGCCTTTTTTCCTTTAGAGAAACAAAACAAAACAGGATTAGTTAATTGTGTAATCTAACTTTTTGTCTAAAATTTTTGCATGCAGATGTATTGGAACTATAAACCCAAGATACTTTGTATTGCATCAATAATAATAATTCCTAATGGGATTCTACTAAAAGAAAATTAGAAACCTTGTTTTATCTCTCACTTTCTTTACTTCTATTTATATCCTTATTATCATACCAGGAAAAAAAAATATGGTAACGAATCTTGTATTCATTACAAGATGCATTTGAAAATAACTATATCTAATATACAAAATGTGAGTTGGTATATAAATCTAATAAAGAAGGAAATAATGTTGCATCAGTTATGGTACCTATAGAAAGTAACAAACAAAAACCAGGGGCGTTTTTAGATATGTAGGTGCCACAGTGCCGGGCGCTTCGAAAAGCGCCTGGCATTGCAACGCTTGCAGTCATATAAGTGACGAAATACACATCAGTGCTGAGAAAATGACAGTGGTCAGCTTTTGAACTAAAAAACATAGAAGGTGCTTTAGTTTAAAAGTGTACCGTCACCATTTTCTGCGTGCTGACACGCATTTCACCGCTTATACAATGGCATGCAATGCATCACAGTGCGTGTTGGCTCATATGCAGCGCAGACTTGATTAATCAAGTTTTCTCCAAAGCATTGGATTTCCAGAGCATCACAGGACCAAAAAGTATGTGTATAAATGCCCAGGAAGTCCTACTTTTTACACAGTTCATGGTTAACTTGTGTATCTCTTTACCACAAGAGGTTGTAGAGGCAGGTGATGTAACCAGGTTCAAAAGGATAGTTGAGAAACACATGGAGGAAAGATCCATTGATAGTGATTATGTAAACAGCGGTGTATCCTCTGACATTCCTAAACCAGTGATGAAGCAGAGGATAAAGCAGGGGATAGGTTATAATAGACATGCCCTGAATTTCTTTCCTGCTAAAAAAATCTATTACTCCTGCTTTCAGACAGATTATTAATTTAGATGGACAAGTGGTCTGAACCAATATGACAATTAGTATTTCCTTATTACCATAAGGAGAGCTAGTGGTAATTCCTATAATTAAGTGGCCTAACAATCTCCAGTTGTGCATATATATCATCACTGTCATTTTTAAATTACAAGAGCACATACTACTCTATTTACTTGAATCCAAGATGACCCTGAATTTAAGACAGTGCCCCCCCCCCCAATTAGATTATATACATGGACAATTTATAAATGTAAATGTATAAATGTAGAGGCTTCAGGGAACAGGAGGAGATGGAGAGAAAAGTCTGCAAGGGAGAGGTGGCAGGGTGCAGAGATAACTAGACAGCAGCTATGGCTGGGGTTCTGGAACTACAGGTCAGGCTCCAGATCAGCCTTATTAGCCATTAATGGACTCATCTACAGCCCTTTACTTGACCTATGGGAGTGATCATCCTTGACCGTGAGGGATTGCTACCACCACTGCCAACTGCTAAAATTCAGGAAACCTATTAAGTGCTCAATTAGTTAATAGCCTTCTTGAAAAGAGAATACCAGAACTGTAGTTATACACTGGTACAGGTTATGTAAGCACCAAAATGGATGCCAGGTGATCTCTTGATCCTTTTTCGATATTTCTGTATTTATTCGACAAGGATCACACTAGCTGTATTGGCGAAAGCAATTCTTTGGGAGCCTGTGTTCATATGGTTAGCCAAATCCTTTTAAAAATAACTTCTTCCTGGAATATTGCACCATCCCTTTAAGTATGGCTTACATTCCTTGCTCCTTTTTTCTAGATCTTTACATTTGGCAATAATAATATGAATTGCTTACTTGTCTCCGGCTTATCAAGTGACCCAGATTGTTCTATGTCAGTGTGCCCTCTTCATTAACTCTCATTTCTCATTTTTTTTGGTCATCTAAGAACTTGATCAGTAATTTATTTTGTCTTCTTTCAGGGCACTGAGGGTAATGTTATAGTAGACTCTACTAGAACCAGACTCTAAAAACAAACCTGCTCAATGGTGGTTTCCTGGTTGCCATTTTATTTTGGGAACTTGCTGAGTTAGCAAGCAATTGATTTATTTAATATGTACCATGTTGAGTTTGTATCATTCTGCTTTTTTAATGAAAACAGCATTTTGGTATCAAGTCAAATGCCTTTTAGACGTCTAAGGATATTGTTTTGATGTTATTACCAAACATATAAGTGTGCTAGATAGAAGGAGCAGCTATATATAGGCTTATCTTGTCACCCATGGCAGGAAGCCTTGGGGGCAGAACGATAAGTATATGCATCCACCCTAAGAAAGGAAAAAAATCAGTGTTCAAAGGGGAGAGTCCCATTATTACATTTATATAACCTCAATAATATTTTTAATGCATAACTTTTACACAAGAGAAAAATAACCCCCCGTGGGTATTTTATACCACATGGGCAAGTCCCCGTGAGCATGAATGTGCGTTTCCTGGGGACAGCTAGCAGCGGCACATATTTGTGCCGCTGCTAGTTGTCCTCAGGGAATGCCCATACCTGTGCACTCTGCTGCACAGCAAGTTGCCCTGGGTGGAATAGGGGAGGCTGGGACCAGCACCTGGCTGGCAGCTGTAGTGTGGCTCTAGCTGGCCAGGTTCTGGTTTTGGGTGGCGCACGCTGCCGGCATGTGCAAACCCCAACTTTTTTGTTGTGGGTTTTTTTGACACTGGGATTTTCTGGTGTCAAAAAAACCCTTCCACGCTGCAAATTAGCAATGTGATGAGTTCCTGCATGTGCAGTGTGTATGGTCTGTGGCAACACAGACTTTCAGCACCACAAACTGTACATGTGTGCTTGTGGGGATGTGCCCCATGATTGAAAAGATTGGTGACAAACCGGCTACCAGGTATGTGAACCCAGACCTGGACTAGCCATTTTGAGAAATGATTAGTTTCTTCACTGATTAAAAGAACAAGTCATGATGGTTTTGTTAAAGTTTTAGGTAAGAAAAGCTGGTTTAAAATAACAAAAATGTGTTTGATTCCAACAGGGAATATTTCCTAAATCCTTTATCCACATCAAAGAAGTTACAGCAGAAAAGAAAAGGTATTTCATTTTTGTTTTTCTCTTAAGCTATTGCCTAATTTTAATGGGTGACTTCTGTCTAAAATGAAATTAAAAACCCACTTGGAAAATGGCTTCATATTTTTGGGGGCTCTTAATCACTTGTGGAGTTAGAAAACAATTGAATTTTATGTACCCTCTCAAACTAATTAAGGTATTTTTACTCCTTTTATGCAGTCTTAGTTAGCCTTAATTATATAAGCTAGTGAGGGGGAAACATGGATATTAGTATTTTTTTTTAATTTCCTTTTCTTAATGTACAGCTCATAACTGTCTACAGATTAAAGTTTAGAATGTTAAGTACTTAGGTTGATTTTTTTTCATATGTTGGTTCAATTAATTTGAGTCTATTTCCCTTTTCCTTAGAAATCAAGAGAATATAATACCTGCTGAAATTCCATTGGTGCAAGAAGTTACCACTACACTCTGGGAATGGGGTAGCATCTGGAAACAACTCTATGTGGTGAGAAGTAGATTTTTTCCCCCATGACTAAAATAGGATGGAAAATTGGAGGAAAAATATTTCATGCCACTTTGAATTCAACATTATGCATGTTAAATAGGCCTATTTATATGTATCAAGCGCTCATTGTAATTGGTATTTTATTTCAAGGGTACAGGACAGGATGTGAGAGAGAATTTAATTACTTGAATTCTCTATCGAAGTATTTGGATCAATACAGTGTTCTCTAATTATTTTACAATAAAAGGCATAGCTTTAAAGTACTGCTTAGCAGTAGTATATCTTTGTGCTAATAATTTAAACTGTAATCTCCCGTGTCTGGGTCATATTCTGTAAGATATGTAGCTGGTACAATGTGTGTGTATTCAAAGAAGGTGGCAATCACAGGCTTCAAAGTGCTGGTGCTTGAACATGCTTTAAAGTGCTGGTAGGAAGTTTGAATAAAATTGTTCAGGACCTTTGATAGCATGCTGCTCTTAGGAACATTTGACAATTTACATGAAGTGAGATTGACTTTACACTTAAGTGAATTAGGGGTGTGTATAGATGAAACAGGGGCCCTAAATTGAACTGGTGGGTTTTAAAAAACACAACTTCAATTTAAGGCTGATGAAACCCCTGTGTTGTGCACACACCCTGCTGACTTACCTGCCTCACCAGCAGGGAGGGGAGGGCGAACTGCCAGCAGGCAGTGTGGTCTCTGGGCTGCCCAAAGTCATTTAAGGCACATTATACCGCCAGCTTTCCTACAGCGGCTGGAATGAATGCACAATACGTTGCCAAGGCATGCAAACACAGACACCATTAAAGCAGTGCAAAAGCATTTAGCCCGCTTTAAAGTGTCATGCACACATGCCTCTTGTTTTGTCTACACATGGATACGATCCTGAAATACAAAACTGATCGTGTGAGTAAAGGAATAGTAAAAGGACACCTTTTAAACTAAGTTAAGTTTGTTTAACTGGTCTGAAAACCTTCTCTGTAAAAAACAAGCCTGTTTCAAAACAAAAGGCTGACTTTCAAATTTAATCTGAACTTCTTTGTAACTCCACTTTTGAAGAGCAAAGGGCAGAACAATGCCCTTTGGAGTTAGGTCTGGCTGAAAATATGCTATAAAAAAACTATTTTTAATAGCAAATCAAGGTATTTTTTTCTAAATTAGATTTTTGAAGTGCCCGTGCTTTACATAAAAGTTCCTTCCAGCCATCCAACCAAAATATGTGACACCTGAAAATTAAAATATTTCTGCTGAAAACTGCATGTAGGACAAGAGGACCAAAAAATTGTCAGCAAGGTATGTTTTGGTATGGAAAGTAGGGATGGAGGGAAAGGCACACTCCTGGAGGTTTAAAATTCAAAATCCTAATACCTGAATAGATCATTAGATCATGTAGTGTTTTATAAGCTTTTAAATTACCCCTGTATTGTGTACAATGACTTGCTTGAGTAAAATGCATCTAGTCTATGGCAGCTTCTTCCAATGGTTGACCATCCCTACTCCTTAAAACAAAAAATGCCCAATTTGAATTTTTCATGCTTCAGACTCCCAGTCACTGTCTTTTGGTTTGCTTCTTTCTGCTAGGTTAAAGAACTGTTGATTACTCTCTGGGTATGTACAGGTGTTACTTTTCTCTTTCTGGAGAACTACAGATTTCCCCAAACAAAAAATGGTATAGATTGCCCCCAGAGAGTTTTTCCTGGGCAAATGAACACCTGTACACTTTCTTACCACTTGACTCCTCCTGGGGACCAGGAAAGAGAAATTTCCACCAGTAGAAATGAATGCCTTTTTGCGGCCTCTGCTTTTCCCTTCATCAAAGTATTTGTAGTTGATAATCAAGTCACAGTTCAGAGTTTGGATGCAGATTGAATACTCTAAAATTCACTGGAAGACACTTGAATTATTTCCATACCATTTTTGGTACTTCCTTCAATTTTTCAATAATTTCTGTAAAATGTGGATGCCAGAATTTATATGCAGTATTTTAATATTAGCATCAACGTTTCCACACGAAGGGGTAAAATCATTGCCAGAATTTCTCATGCTGGGAATTTTTTTTGCAAAATTAACTCCTTTAAAAAAATCCCATAATGTTTAGAAGAGAAAAACTTTCCACCACAACCACACCAATGCTATTAACATTTGCTTTCTTCCTGCAGAACAAAGGGGGATTTTATCTGAGACTTACTTTCAGGGGGAGTTAGGAAAGTCAACTTTTTACATCTTCTGGGAAGACTTTAAGAGGGGGAGAAAGACAAGACTGGTGCTGGAAGTGGTTGCCTGCTTACCTTCCAAGTGTGGCTTGAATACTTAGGAATTCAAAGGCTAAACAGTAAAAAGGCCAATACACAGGGGAGTTTGAGTAGGACCCCAGGTTGGGAGAAGAACATGAAGCCATGATTGCCTAGGAAATTGATTTATGAGTACTGGAGAGTGGGAAGGCCTGTCTGGCTTGAGCTTGGTAGTATAGCTTCAACCTGAGAGTCATTTTGTAGCGTTGTTTTGAGAAGTAAGCAGAGGAGCTCTTAGCTGACTGTAATGTGAACAAGGAGGTATGCCTTGCCTAAGTAGAAATCCTAGGTGAGCCTAAAGTCAGCAAGAAAAGAGTGAGTGATACAGGACCAACTAACAGGCCAGCAAATGGTGGAGTCTGGGTGGCCATTTAAGTGGGCACCTAGAGGCCACCTAGAGAAGTTATGCAATCTCTATGTTTGGAAATTTTCAAGAGCAGGTTGGACAGACCCTTGGCTGGGATGGTTTAGTCAGGATGATCGTCCCTTGAGCAGGAGGCTGTACTAGACATTATGACCTTCCAGCTCTATTTTCCTATGATCCTAAATTACTGAACATCTAATATGCGCAGCTGTAGCAGAGATCCTGGGGCTGTCTGTTCCTTTGTGAAAGATGCCATCCAGAGAGGGAACGCTGCAGGGCAGGCAGGGTGCAGCAGCTGCAGGGCATAGCATAGCAACTAGGCAATGAAGTCAATTAGCAGGTGTCTGCAGGCAGCCCAGGGTAATTTCCTGACTGGCAGGGCCTGGGCCCTGGGAGGCCCAGAGCCTGATCTAGCAAGCTAGTCTAGCCCTGAAAGGGGTAGGAGCTCCTAGCCAAAGCTACCAGAGAAGAGACTGCTGTGCCACCTTTGGATCCCCAGTGCGGCTTGGGGATCCATAGGTGGCATAACAGGTGGGGTTGGGAGGTTATCCAGGCAAGAGGTGAGGGGAAGTTTTCCCATTTAAAGGTACAGAGGGCTGCTCCCCCTTTGCGTTGATGTTGACGGGCTCAGGGGAGACTTTTTCTGTTGTAGCCTGGGGGCTTATTGTTTGAGTTGCAGTTTAGCACCAGTGGCTTGGGTTGGGAGTGTAAGGGGTGGTATACAAAGGTCCCATTAGTGCCTAAGGGGCCTGAGGCAGGCTCAAGGCCTGAACAAGTGTTGAGCCCAGAGCAGGGCAGAGCGTGAGGCTATGGAGCCGATCAGGAACCAGGGGCCTGGTGCTTAAGAGGGGCACAACCCGATGGGCAAGGGGCCCAGCACCTAAGAGAGGTGCAATCAGGCAGGGGCCAGGGGCCTGGTGTCTGAGAAAGGTAGTCCAGAGCTGGTGCCTCAAAGCCATGTCCAGTACAGTGGGCCTGGGCTAGAAGGCCTAGCTAAAAGGAAATGGGTGGTGGCCAAGGAGGCTGAAGCCCCAACAGGAGAGTAACAATACAGCAAGACCTGTGAGGCTTCATGGTGTAGGAGAGGAATAGAGCCACATAATTTGCCCTTAAAGATATAGGTGCCCTGCAGTGGCATAGCCAGAAAGATCTAGTGAGGGGCCTGGGAATAGCAAGGCCCGGGAAGAGGCCTGAGTGTAGTGTAGTTAAGACCAGTAGGGTACTGGGGAGCCCCAGTGGGGATTTGGCTGGATTGAGGCCCATGCTAAGGCCTGTGGGCAGCCTCCCTCTTCATCCTACAATTATATCAAGGCATGGTGGGTGAGACAGAAGGGAAGGCAAAGTGGGGCACAGTTGTGGAGCCACCAGCGGGTGTCATAGCTGCCCCTGTGACCCTAATGTGCTACAGCAACAAAGAGAAATGTAGGATCATGAAGTGAAACAAAGCTTGAAACCTATGCTAATATTTTGTGTTTTAGGCAAACAAAAAAGAGCAGTTCCAGCAGGTGCAATCTATGATGTACGACTTAATGGAGTGGAGATCACAGCTTCTCTCAGGGACACTGCCTAAAGATGAGCTCAAAGAGCTCAAACAAAAAGTCACTTCCAAAATTGACTATGGCAATAGGTAAGCTTTATTTGGGCTAAAGTAGTACTGAGAAACATTTCTCTATTTCCAGACTTCTCCTTTTTACAGTTGGAAATATTCTCTTTCTCTGTACTTGTCTCTAGATCAGTGGTTCTTGACCTTTTCAGGGTAATGGCATGCCACTTCCACTTTTTTTAATGTGATGGTACCACCAGCTGAGAAACACTATTAGTGGTGCCTCAACTTACCTCAGTGGTTTTCAGCAGTGTTCTGCTGCCTCCAGATGAAACTACCTAGTGTGCCAGGAAGGGCTCTGCCACCAGCACTCACTCCTCTTGCATTAGGGCTCTCTTATTAGGCTAAAGCAGGCAGGAGCTGCCTTCTGCTTTGTAAACCTTCATCCCCAAGAGAAGTGGATGGGACAGTTCCCATAAAGGCCATAGGGGTGCTGGACCAGGAAGAGCTGCACAGCAGGAGTCAGCTTTTCTGCCTGCTTTAGGCTGATTAGAGAAGCCTAATGCAGGGAAATGTGGGGCAGTTTTGCCTGGCTGCTGCTTCCATGGTACGCCTAATAGCACCCCAGCATGTTGCAGCACCTGGTTGAGAAGTGTTACCCTAAACAATACATCTTAGTTATATACTAGTCCTCTTCCTTAGCCTTGCTGCAGTAGCAGACTCAACGTTGAGTGTTTTTCAAACATCATCATCCAACTACCTGTCTGCAGCCATTTCAGTACACAAGATCTCTGTCAATCATTCAGATATATAGATATTGGGAGGATCATTTCATATAATTTATCTCCATAACCATTTAACATATTCAGCTTTAGACATTTTCATAATCCTTCCAGAGATAAGATCTAAACCCACACAGGTTACCTTGTGTTCACAGTCTAGTACTGCCAACTAAGCAGTAGTTTTGAGGGATAAAAACCTGTGAGATAGCCTTTATTGAAGGTGAGAGAACAAAGTTTATGCAGAGTTTCAAGGTCCAGTCGCATGTGGTCTCACAGGTGCGGGGATGTCTAAAGCAACCCTGCAGCTGGGAGCCCGTCTCAGTTGCAGGGATTCATGGAGCACCCCTCACGGCTGACATCCTGTCAGATGGGAGCTCATAAGCTCAGGGGTGCACATGGGCCCCTCCAGCTGGGGGGATCCTATCAGCTGACGCAGCTTGCAGATAGGGGCCTCTGGCCACATGTTCAGTTAATGGCATGGTAGGAATGAGCCACAAAATTATTGCACATATTTTGTGAAATAACTTTGTGGTTTATTCCTCCATTTAGCACACCATTTATTGACTGAATGTGTGTCTGGGTGAACACTTAAGACGCAATTAACTGGTTAATTGTGCCTTATGTGCGACATGTAGATAACTCATCCCTGCAGCTGGGAGTCTGCAGCTGAGGCAGGCTTCCAGCTGACACGGGCTTCCAGGCACCCCCATGGCTGGCAGACATGATGCAGTCTTCCAGCCAGGCGGTACCAGGAGTAACCCTGTGGCTTGAAGCCCATGTTGGCTGCCATCTCCCAGCTGCTGGGATACCTGGAGCACCACCATGATTGGAAGCCTGCATCAGGTATGGGGACTGCTGGAAGCCCGGATCAGCTGACAAGGCTCCCACCTGTGGAAACTTGTGGTGTGCCCCCCACGACTGGGAACCCTGTCAGCTGTGGGGCCTCCTAGTCATGGGAACTTGCCACTTGTTAGTGCAGGGGGAGCATGAATCAAGCTCCTGGACTCCCGCTGCATGGGAAGTAAGGCACAATGGGATCTGATTTGTTGACCCTTCCCACGGGATGGGAATGAGGACAGAGACCCTCTTGGGTAGAAGGATGGGTAGGGAAAAGGAAGGGACCCTTTGTTACTTTCAAGTCTCTGCTTTTGTATTCTCCTTCCCTCTTGATGATTCCTGATGACTCTTCATCCATGCCTATTTCTGGTTGGTTGTCACGTCCACGTTGCCTTCCGGGCCTTCTTCTAATTTGGTCTGTTCCCCCAAAACTGGGACTCAGGCCCTCCTGCTCTGGGGTCTTGTATCTGGTGTCACTGTATCTTATGTTATGAGCAGTATGGTACATACTTCCTCTGTTTACCAGACTATGTGTGTATCCATTGGCCTTGTTGTGCTAGACAGCCTGTCTGCTTCCAAGGCTGTGATCTCATGTGACTGCGAGACACAAGCTCTTTAGAAATCAGTTAACCCCTGCTGCCCATCTTACACCATTTCTAATATATATATACCTATAAGCCAGTTCCCAAAAAAACAAAACTTTAAATACTATTTCTAAGCCAACATCCCACCATGCAAGGGTGAATGTGTGTTCTGTTCATAGCAGCACGGTAATTTTACAGTAACAGATGACAGTACAGAACCTTAAAATGATTAAGAGGAAGTGAATACTGACAAACCATAAGGAGAAAGATGTTTTTGTTTTGAGGTTGTTTGGCCAAATAAATACTACTTGCCACAAACTCTTGTTTCATATATAGTTAGATTTTTAAATAAACAGAACCAGTTGCTGAACACCTTAAGTATTTGTGAAGGCAGTTAATGGAACTTAACTTGTTTTTCCAGACTAAAATAATTTTGTGTCATATGCTGCTTTTTATCTCCACAGGATACTTGAGCTAGATTTAATAGTTAGAGATGAAGACGGAAATATCTTGGATCCAGATAAAGCCAATGTCATTAGTTTATTTCATGCACATGAAGAAGCAACTAATAAAATCACAGAGCGAATTAAAGAAGAAATGGTATGAACAATTGGCCAAACTGGCACTTCCTGTTATAAAGAGTTTTATCATTTTCTGTTGTTTATTTAAATGTAAGACAGTTTTCCTTTGTCAGTTTATAAATGTAGGAATGTTTTTTATTTTAGCTGTAAAGTTTTACCTTGATTTACCAAACTTCCTGGTAAATTCTTTGTTAATAACTCTTTTTCAGCAAGTTGTATGATGTCTTTAATTAGGTGTAAAATACAAATGCTGGTATAATATAAGAATCAGATAGTGACAGTGCTGACAGTTGGCATTGAATTTAATATCCATGTGAAGATTTCAAACCTGTGCACTTAAAATAAGCCTTCTTAGGCAGCTAAGGAGTCTGTGTCACTGCTGGCTACATACAACTGCTCCTGTGGAGTTCAGGTCACTTAGCTAGGATTTAGAAGCTTTGACTAAGTACAGAGTTTTGACAATACTGATGAATGGGGCATGAGTTATTGCCTGTCTGAGACATTCACTTTTGATTCTGCAAATGCAGCCACATGCCTGTAATATCCCAGGCCAGAAGCCAGGGATCACTACAGCATGCCTCCCTGCTCAGTTGGAGTGTTCAGCTTGTGTCAAAGATAGCCTGCTCACCCTGCAAGGGGAGATTTGCAGGGAAATATAAAGCATCCTGGGATGCTGGGGGACTGTGAGTTAAGTTGATTCTGAAGGGGATCTGGGAAAGAAGTTCAGTAAACCAATTTAACCTAAATCCATGAAGTCTGATACTACGTCCATCCAGGCTTATCTTAAATCGGTTTAATTTAAAAGCAGTTTATGTGCACTGAACTTCTTCTGTGTTACAGATTTGAACCATTTTCAGTCACATACCAGTTTGTGTAATGTCTGTCCCTAGCCTACTAGATCAAAACTCTGCTGAAGTTTTGTTCTATTTCTTCTTTAAAAAAAAGTGTTGGAATGGTGAAAAGGGAAAGAAGTGGCTGAAGTGGGACTGTGATGAAGTGTAGGTATACATACAAGATGCAATCTGGAAAACTCTTGCTTAGCTGATACATAACCCTGGAGGCCCCTACTTTCTTTTACGCATCTCAGGTTTCGACATAAGTTTTCTTACATTGAATTCTGCAGATACCTCTTGTTTTGATGGGATTGAGGAGTTAAGTGCCTTGCTCATATACAAGCCCACCTACAATTCCAAAATTGTCCTTGTTATCTATTTTCCTCAAAAAGCTAGATTTGGCAGGCATGCTATAAAGACATCTATAGCAGGTCTGCTGGACTGCTTTGCAGAACTGTAAGGGCAGTCATTGTTTTATTTTCAGAAACAACCAGAGGAGGAGGTGACAGAGGTTTTTCCCCTTTTTATTCTATAGCTCAGTGGTTGAAGCTCTCAAGATGCTGAGTGGGAAAACTAAGTTAAAATCCCTTCTCTGAATGAGTCTTTAAATCCTTGTCTCCCATCTCCCATGTGAATGCTTTATCCAGTTAAATGCAGATTCAAACTTCTGAGGGTTTCAAGCTTCTTTTAAGACTGGGTTTCATATAATCTATGGATATGTATATGCCTCAATCAGTCACTTTTATCAAGAAACATATGGGACAATTATCACCAGTTTGAGGAGACTATATAGTATCAATAAACATTTCTGATGCAAGTCCTTCACTACACTAGTGTTTTAATTGAGAACAGAATTTATCTTTTTGGAACCTAACTTTACATATAGCAGATCAGTGGAAGCATACTTGCAAGTCTTGCTAGCATTCTAGTTAGTTTGGTCTAGCTGATAATTTCCTCTTCCTGTGTGTAGTCAAAGGATCAATCAGACTACGGAGCATACTCTCGAAGGTCCTCATCCCCTACCCATAGCCTTTATGTTTTTGTAAGAAACTTCGTATGCCGCATAGGAGAGGATGCAGAACTCTTCATGTCACTATATGATCCACAGAAGCAAACCATTATAAGGTAAGCTGATTACCACTGAAAAAATAATGTTAAAGTTGAGTTGGATAAATGAGGTAAGGAAGGTAATGAGTCAAAATACAAAAATGCATGAATAGAAGAAAATTATTGAGGAAAAAAGAGAAAATAGTTAAAGGCAAAAGCACATGTTCAGTAGAATTTAATTTTATGTATTATTAAAGAATTCCTGTCCAGTTCATATATTGAGGGAAAAAAACTGTGTAGAACCCTCTGAAAACTTAAGAAAAATACTGGTACTCCATTAAAGCCAAGTGATGACCTCAACATTTAGGTTTACTTGCACAAAGGTTAATAATATCACATCATCAGTTGGTTTTGATTTTCTTCAGACTTTGGAGGGAAACAATTATTTATAGTAGATGTAGCAGCTAAGACCTGAGACTTTAGTCGGTTCTCTGTGACTAGTCTGAGTTCAGTCTGAGCCACTCAATCACAATAGCAATGTGCTGGGACAGAAGTTTAGCCATTTGTTAGAATATTTAGAAAAAATAATTGTGAAATTTGTTTTTATCACTGGTATGCATACAATCTAAGGGCATTTAGGTATAGTTTTCATAAATACAGAACTTTGTTATGAAAAATGATGATCCTTTGTGTGTCTGTCAAAACGGGGGCTTTTTACAACAGACATTGGGCAATACAAACATCTGATTGTCAATGGCTTAAAAGTAATTTAATTGTGATAGTTTCCCTGGCTTTCTGTGCATATTGTGTGGTTGATTTTGAAGAACTTAAACTGTCATAGAAAAAAGCAGATGGGTGAGTTCAAGGTATGTTTAGAGTAAGACTACAATTTATCTGTCTCTCTCTGTCTCTCTACCGCCTCCTCTCCTTCTCATTTCATATATCAGCTTATAATGGAGTTGGATAGTAAGTTCTCAGAAATGAATCTGCTGGATTCAACGTTATTTAGAAAGGAAATTGTTCTTTGACCAATTATGTGTTTTGGGAAGTTTCATGAAACTAATAAAACTTGCTCTAATCTGTTAATTTTTGCTATTTCATGAAACCTCCTTTTAGAATGGGAAGATAATAAACATGTAGCTTAAAAGGGGAAAATCCCTCAAGGCTGAAAAATGGTGTAGG